TGGCTGCCCTGAGTCTTTGTTGCTGTGAACAAACTTTCTCTAGTTGCAGCGAGCGGGAGCTACTTTTCGCTGTGGTGCAAGGGTTTCTCATTGCAGTGACTTCTCTTGTTGTGGAGCACACGCTTTAGGCATGCAACCCTAGAATGCAGGCTCAGTAGTTGTGGCATACAGGCTTAGTTGCTCTGAGGCATGTGGAATTTTCCCAGACCAGGAGTCGAACCCGTGTCCCCTGCATTGGCAGGCGAATTCCCCACCAGGGAAGTCCCCAGAGAGACCTTTATAGTAATAACTCCCATACCTGCCCCCTACTCCGTGGTTCAAAACCTTTCCATGATTTCCATGACTTCCCCATAGACTTGGGGAAAAGCCCAAGCTCTTCAGCCTGGCCTGTGAGACCCTTTAAAGGGTTAAGGGGCTGGGAGTGAAGACTAGAGGAAAGAAAAGAAAGCGGACTTGGTCTTGGGACTCCACAGAGAGTCATGGAGACCCTTCCCTGTCCCTGTCCTTGAAGCTGCCCAGCCTCTGGTTCCCTGAGGCCCCTAACACAATGGACAAACCTCAGGGATGATAACAGATTCACGAGACCCTAGTAAACAGTGCATTTATACTGTGCCCCTCTCCTCATTCATTCCAGATCCTACCCTCCAGGAGGTGTGGGTCTGAGGCCAACATTTGGCATCATGTTAGGTCCTGATCCTCTGGTGTCTGTGTCATCCTGTTGGTGTTGATGGTACCACCACTGTTATGGCTGGGTAGGTGGAATTAGAGGCAGGGTGGGGGGGGGGGTGTGTTTGAGAAAGCCCAGGAAGGGCTGGGGTGGGTGTGGGCGGGGGGTAGTGGAAGCTAGGCTGGACTGGGGTAAGGTGAAGAGGTGAGGACCTAAAGAATTAAGTGCATGATAAATCATACATAACAAACATCTTCCATGTGCATATTCTGGGGTTGCCACTGTGACTCACCACGTGTTCCATTTTCTCTACCCTGAGGAATTATAATCCCCATTTCACAGGTGAGGAAACAGGCTTTGGGAGACTAAGCAACTGGCCCCAAGTCACTAGAAATTTAACTAGTGGAGTGTCCACATTTTCTGACTCCTAGTTCCTTTTTTTTTTTTTGGCCATGCAGCTTGTGGGATCTTAGTTCCCTGACCAGGGATTGAACCAGCACCCCCTGCACAGACTCTCAACCACTGGACCACCAGGGAAGTCCCACCTACTTCCATTTTAATGGTGTGCCCCAGTAACTCTAGAACCCAAATGATAAATGTATCTGTTCTCTCACCATCATCAGCTGTTCGGTGGGTGCCATTAAGTCTAATCTTAGAGGAGAGGAAAAGCGTGGCGGCCAAGTGGGTCAAGATTCCCTGAACTGGAGACTGGACTTTGCAAGTAGAAATCCTGGGTCCAGATCTGAGGCTTCTATTCTATAACCTCAGGCAGGGCCCTTACTCTCTCTGGAGCCTCAGTTTCCTCATATGTCTAGGGGAGTAGTAAAACTAATATAAGTGAAGTTGTTCAGTTGCGTCTGACTCCTTGCGACCCCACAGACTGTAGCCTACCAGGCTCCTTCATCCATGGGCTTTTCCCGGCAAGAATACTGGAGTGGGTGGCCATTTCCTTCTCCAGGAGATCTTCCCAACCCAGGTCTCTTGCATTGTAGGCAGACGCTTTACCATCTGAGCCACCAGGGAAGTCTGTACTGCTAAGTCACTTCAGTCGTGTCCGACTCTGTGTGACCCCATAGACAGCAGCCCACCAGGCTCCCCCATCCCTGGGATTCTCCAGGAAAGAATACTGGAGTGGGTTGCCATTTCCTTCTCCAATGCATGAAAGTGAAAAATGAAAGTGAAGTCGCTCAGTCGTGTCCAACTCTTAGCGACCCCATGGACTACAGCCTACCAGGCTCCTCCGTCTATGGGATTTTCCAGGCAAGAGTACTAGAGTGGGGTGCCATTGCCTTCTCCACCGGGGAAGTCTAGAATGGCTTAAACTGATTCCTGTGAAGGTGTTTGGAAATCTATAAAAACTTACACAGAGCGACTTGCCTGGCGGCCCAGTGGTTAGGACTTCAGGCTCCCACTGCAGGGGTCATGGGTTCTGTCCCTGGTCTAGGAACTAAGATCCCACAAGCCACACAGTGCAGCCAAAAAAACCCCAAAACAAAACAGAGAAACTTACACAGGTTGGCATCACTACCATCATTTTAGATGTCATTACTAGAAGTGGTCTCAAGAACCGTGATGTTTACCAGTCCATCCATTTTGTACATGACAGAGCAGTCACCTAGGAAACAGAGAAGGAAGGGGAAGAAATAATTGTTCAGAGAGTCAGTGGCTACGTTATAGCCTGCAATTATGACTACAGAGTTCCACGTGCCTCTGTAGCTAATATCTTTAATTCTCACAACGTTGCATTTGGTATTATTTTACCCTATTTTCTAATCAAGAAATCAAGATATAGAAATGATGCAATGTGACCAAAGATACGAGATACATTTGCTACCAAAAACAAGAGAAATTTTAAAACACAGCAGACTAGATTGGGATGGTATAGTTTGAGAATCCCCAAGACCAACCTCAGGCTCAATAACTCACAAGGTCTTACAGAATTCAGCATAACTGTTATAGTCATGGTTACAGCTTATTATAGCAAAAGGACAGAGATTAAAATCAGCAGAGGTGGGGACTTCCCTGGCTAAGAGTGGTTGAGAGTCTGAGCTTCCTTTGCAGGGAGCGAGGGTTCGATCCCTGGTCAGGGAACTAGGATCCCACATGCCAAGCGGCCAAAAAAGAAAAAAAAAAAAAAGAATTTAAAAAATGTAAAAATCAGCAGAGGGCAGAACATCTAGGGCAGGATGTAGGAGGGACCAGGAGCCAGCTTCCAGTTGTCTTCTCTGAGTGGACAGAGCTCCTCTTCTCCTTGTTGTTCAAAGTGTGGCAACAAGCAGGGTATTTCCAAGCGGGGAAACATTGAAACTTGGCGTCCAGGGTTTTTACTGGGGCTCAGCATGTTAAGCATGGCTGACCATCCCCTTGGCTGACCTTCACCTCCAGCCCTGCCAGAGTTCAAGTGGATTCTGCATAGCTCAAGGCTCCCTCGTAAATCACTCTGTTAGCATAACTGTCTGGTGTGGCCCCAGGCCCCAAGTAAACCAAGACACTGGTCATCACCAGACAGAACATTATCAGGGCTCAGTGCTTTCCTCGCAGCAGCTGGGCAAGAGCCAAGTCTTCCTAGGATAAGATTGATCCTTTAATGCACAGGTAGGATACTAGAGGGGTTTCCTAGGTGGCGCTAGTGGTAAAGAATCTGCCTGCCAATGCAGGAGACATGGGTTTGATCCCTGGATGGAGGAGAGACCCTGAAGGAGGGCATGGCAACCCTCTCCAGTATTCTTGCCTGGGAAAGCCCATGGACAGAGGAGACTTGTGGGCTACAGTCCATAGGGTCGCAAAGAACTGGACACAACTAAAGCAACTTAGCACGCACTGGATACTAGTGGATGAGATGAGTCTATTTTTCAACTTGAATCTCTCCGCACAGGGTTAATTTCTCATGTCATTGGAAATCGAGAACATACTGGTGGAAGAGAGCTGGTGCTCTGCCATCTCTTGCGTATTTGAATTTCGTGAAGAATCCCCAAGCAGCTCCATGACCCTGGGCACCCCACTCAGTAAAACTATCAGCTCCTCTGTAGCTACAAATCAACCCAGCGCTGCCCTCGATGGTAACACCCCGGACACACCTCACACTGTTTGGAGTTTTGAAGAGCCAGAATGTACCCATCTGACCTACAGCATATAGGACATATCCACTCTATACCAATCTAGGAGAACGCAGGAGTGCTTTCCTGAGGGACAGTATCGAACTCCTAGTCTCAGGTGAAATTCAGTCTCATGCAGCGGATAGTTTAGAGAGAAGGAACTCCAGATCGCATCCTGGTTAGTGTGTGGTTTTTGTTTCACCTGGGGCCGGGCTTTACAAAACCTTAGGTATTTCATTCTTACAACCATCATACAACATGACAGACACAACTGATAAGACCCGCTGCTCCCCAAATAGGAATGGAAAAATGGGGGTTAGTGACTTGCCCATAGCATCCAGCCAGTAAGAGTTGGAGGCATAAATGATCATAGATCATCATGGAAGGGGCAGAGCCTAAGGGGAGAGATGGATTGGCGGGGAGGAGACAGAGTAGGAGCTGGCCCAAAAAAGTCTAGGCTGGGAGACAGGTAAAGAATCATGTTGTTGCTCAGTTGGTAAGTCGTGTCTGAGTCTTTGCAGCCCCATGGACTGCAGCATGCCGGGCTCTTCTCAGAGACAATGTAGATTCTCAGAAAATTTGCTGATCCTCAGTCTTGAAAAGTCAGGGTTCTGGTTGAAAGTCTGCTACCTGAAGCAACTCTCTTCAGTTTGGTCACCTAGATACAGGTGTGCCTGCTCCGTGTGGAGAAGGGAGATACACTTATGAAAAGCCACCCAGTAATCACAATCCCAGCTTCGAGGAGGTGGTCAGATTAGGGGAGTGGAACCAAATCAGCTTCCCTGGAGGCCCAGATGGTAAAGAATCTGCCCGAAATGCAGGAGACCTGGGTTGGACCCCTAGTTTGGGAAGATCCTGGGGAGGAGGGAGTGGCTACCCATTCCAGTATTCTTGCCTGGGAAATCCCAGAGGAGCCTGGCAGGCTACAGTCCATGGGGGGGTGGCAAGGAGTCAGACCCGACTGGGCAACTTGCACTTTTCACCAAATCGGCTAATGGGTGGGAAAGCGCTTTGCCAGCTGAAAACACTGCATATCACTGAGGTGTCCACGAGGGCCCCTTGTCTCCAAGTCTTGGGTCTCTCTCTTCCAGACCTGACCCAGAAAGCAGAGCTCCACGTCCCAGGAACTCTGGCAGCCGGGGGACCCGCGTCCTTGGCCTGTAGCTTCAGAGGCACCTACAAAGAAACCAAAGCCCTCTTCCTGTCCTGGAAAGGGCCCAATGTGTCCACCGGCACAGACGGCTCCAGCAACTCCTCCCCTCCCCTCTTGTGCTGCGCTTCACCCTGAAACCCAAGGACTGCCGCGCCACCCTCGGGTGCCGTCTGAACTTCCCCTCGGCTCACCTGCCCGGAAGTAGCATGGTCAGGCTCCAGGTGGCCTGTGAGTGCTGGTGGGCAAGGGACGATTCAGAGTCTGGGAGGGACAGGACCCAAGAGAAAGACCCGCGTCCTGGGCTGGGGGACAGGAGCGGTCTGGGGAGCAATCACACCTCCCCCTGCTCTGGAGCTGTGAGGCCAGAAGTAAGCGCTGAGCTCGGGTGTGAAGGGGATGAGAAGAGAGGATGAAAGGGGAGCTAGTCTGAGTCGCAGCTCTCAGGGCTTCCCGGGCTCCCAGAAAACCTTTCTGGAGCCCCACGGGAATCACAGACAAGGAGAGGACTGCGGCCTGGAGGAGGCGGAGACGGAGTCAGGATGCTTGCTGACTCCCGGCCCTCCTTTCCCGCAGCCCCAGCCAGGCTGCTCTACTTTTCCTGTTCCTGGAAGAAGACTCTGCAGTGCAGCTGCTCCTTCCATGGGGTCCCCACGCCCTCCGTGCAATGGCTGATGGGAGGTGAGCCTGTGGATCTGAACATCATGAACGAGAACTTCCAGGTGACTTCCAACATAGCTGCCCCTTGGGTCAACAGCACCATCAGCCTCCCCGGGGAGCCAGAAATAGTCATGGGCCTCCGCTGTGAAGGGAGGAACCAATACGGAATCCATACCTCAAGCATCTTCCTGATACCCCCAGGTAAGTGTGCAGGGGTCTGGTGACTGGGCTAGAGCGACAACACCCAGGGACCAGAATGAGGCTGGGTACAGGGCTTCCCTGGTGGCCCAGATGGTAAAGAAGCTGCCCAGGTTCGATCCCTGGGTCGGGAAGATCCCCTGGAGAGGGAAGTGGCAACCCACTCCAGTATTCTTGCCTGGAGAATCCCATGGACAGAGGAGCCTGGCGGGCTACAGTCCACAGGGTCGCAAAGAGTTGGACACAACTGAACCTTTCTCACAGAGCCAGCGGAAAGAGTAGAGGCTCAGACTTTATAGCCGTAGGAGAAAACTTGCTCTCTCTTCTCTTTGATTGCAGATAAGAATTCACTTCCTAATGTGCTGGCGAAAGGGCTGATCCAGGGCGTTGTGTATGGATCCATTGCAACAGCGCTATTCTTCTTCTTCCTTGTCCTCCTTGCGTGAGTATCAAATTAAAATCCACCAGCAAGCTTTCCCCAAAGTCTACTACATTTACTCACGTAAATGTACTTTACAGTAAAGTACTTCCCTGGTGGCTCAGAGGTTAAAGCATCTGCCTCCAATGCGGGAGACCCAGGTTCGATCCCTGGGTCCGGAAGATCCCCTGGAGAAGGAAATGGCAACCCACTGCAGTATTCTTGCCTGGAGAATCCCATGGATGGAGGAGCCTGGTAGGCTAGAGTCCATGGGGTCGCAGAGTCGGACACACCTGAGCGACTTCACTTTCACTACATTGTAGTGCTTGCAGTACATGAAGTACCTGTAATACTACTTTACTACATTGCTACATGTAAAGTGCTACATTTACTTTATTTCCTTCCTTATGATTCTTTCAGCTTTGTCTTCCCTCTTGATACAGACCCTTACATCAGCCATCTTCTTTTCCGGTTTTCCATTTGAAGGCTCTAAACTTCCCTCTATGCATGACTTTAGCTGCATCTCACAAATTTTAATATAAAGTCTTCTATTATAATATAGTCAAATACCTCTAATTTCGGTTAAGATTTTTTTCCATCCATGAGGTTTTTTTTTAAAGACACATCAATATTTTCTAATAATCCTCTTTTCCTTATTTCTATTTAAATCCAGTAAGTTCAAAGAATATGCTATGCATGATTTCAGTTCTTTATTTCCTTGTTGCAGAATTTTTGCTTAGTATTTACATATAAATATTCCATGTGGACTTGAATAGAATACGCATTCTACACTTGTTGAATGTAACGTTTATATAAATACAATATATTGTACAGGTATATACATACATGGGCTTCCCAGGTAGCTCAGTGGTAAAGAATCTGCCTGCAATGCAGGAAACGTGGGTTTGATCCCTGGGTTGGGAAGATCCTCTGGAGAGGGAAATGGCAACCACTACAGTATTCTTGCCTGGGAAATCCCATGGACGGAGGAGCCTGGTGGGCTACAGTCCATGGGGTCACAAAAGAGTCAGACACGACTAAGCTCCTAAACAATAACTATATATGTGTGTGTGTGTGTGTGTGTGTGTGTGTGTGAATTCTGATGGTCATAAGGCAACCAAACATGTTAAATATAAAATGCTGATGCTGAATATAAAAGTTAGTCTTGGGGAACTCTGGGGTCTTCATGTTGTTGTTGTTTAGTGGCTAAATCATGTCCAGCTCTTTTTGATGCTATCTAACCATCGCATCCTCTGCTGTCCCTTTCTCCTTTTGCTCTCAATTTTTCCCAGCATCAGAGTCTTTTCCAGTGAGTTGGCTCTTCTCATCAGCCGACCAAAGTATTGAAGCCTCAGCTTCAGCATTTCAGTCCTTCCAAGGAATAGTCAGGGTTGATTACCCTTAGGATTGACTGGTTCGATCTCCTTGCAGTCCAAGTTTGCTTTGGTGTCTTTTATCAATTCTAGAAAAATTCTCAAACATCTTTCACAGATTGCCTCTGCCATTTCCTTTCAGATCGGGGTTCTCATTTTGTTTTGGGGTTTTAAATATATATGTATTTATTTATTTATTTGGCTGTGTCGGGTCTTCGTTGCAGCATGCAGGGTCTTTCACTGAGGCATACAAACTCTCTGCCAAAACTACTGGCAGGGGCTCGGTAGCTACAGGATACGGGCTAAATTTCTCCGTGGCATGTGGGATCTTATGTTCCCACACCAGGGATTGAATCTGCGTCCCCCGCATTGCAGAGCAGATTCCTAACCACTGGACCACCAGGGCAGTCCCAGAGTTCTCATTTGATAGTGTTAAACCTTCTTTCTCTTTCTCTCTTCCCCCCGCCCTTACCCTGTCTCTCCTGTATTTTGTAAGTAAAGTAAACAAGTGCTAGGTTAGAGAGACCTGCACAAGTAAGATACTAAGGGAACCCTGCCCCTTCAGTATCTCCTTATCCATCGGGAGGGAGCATCCACACGGCCCAGATTCCCTCAGCTTACCCCGAGTCAGCCCTTTGTCGGTACTACAAACGATTTCCTTCCTCCTCCTAAATTTCTTATCTCCTCCCTTCTCACTCTTAGCAGTAAGGTTTCCCTAACTTCACAGGAAAAAAGCAACTCCCCAAACCCACGATGTTATTACCATCGGCACTGATGATTTACTCCTCGCCTGTTTCAGAGAAAGGCATCTTTCTTCGTGTCCAAGGTTAGCCCTCCCTCCTCTGCCTTGGGAATCCATCTCCTGCACACTCCACTGATCATGCCTTCTGTCTCTCAAACGCTCAATCACTCTTCCTTCATTGGCTCTTTCTCTGAATTATATAAGCATGTCCAAATCTCTCTCAGCTCAGCCCCACAAACTCCTTCTATGGACCATCCAGTGTTTTTCTTTTTTTTTTGAGAGAGACTAGCTACACCCACTTCCTGATTATCATCACTCCCACATTCATCAGTCCACTTCAATCTGCTCTTCAGCACCACGCCACTGAAATGACATTGTCTAAGCCAACCAGTTATCCTTAGTTTCGTGACCCAAGAGCAGCTCTTCTTTTTCTTGTTCATCTTGAGGTGACATTTTGATTGGGTAGCCATTTGTGATTGGCTTCTACCCAGCGGCTCCTTGTTAGAGAGAAGGAATACGGCAAAGCCATCTGCTGAAAATGATGTGGGTGGAAGCAGGAACCGAGGTAGAGAATTGAGAGGAGTGATGGTGTTAGGTGTGGTTAGAACAGCCATTGAGAAGAATCCTTGGGGTCCGTACAAGGACAAGGACAGCCCTTGGTAAGCAGCTGCAAAGGCCCAGAGATGACTGGAGACTATTCACTGTTATTGGCACCAGGCGCCCATTGCCCTGTGATATTTCCTCCCAGCAGCGGTCACAGAAAGAAAAAGGAGACAGCGGCATCAGTCTAGGTTTCGGTCTTTGCAGGCAGGGTGCTGTGGAAGGGAGATGGAGGGGAGAGGCCGGGGAGGCAGGGGGGCTGGAGGGAAAGAGCCCATCAAGAAGGCTGGTAAGAGGGTCCAGGCTGAGAGAATAGGAACTTGTATTCCCATGTGACAAGGGGAGGAGAGTGCCAGTTACAGAGCCAGCAAACAGAGGGAAACATGGTCCTCTAAGCCCAGCCCAGGCCTCCTTCTGGGAACCAGAGGGTACTGAGCACAGCATTAACCCCAGGGCTCACTGCTCTAGAATGAAGATGCTTAAGTGGTGGGAGAAGAGTCACATTCCCACGGCCAGTGCGGCCCTGATCCCCAAGAGACCAGAGCTCCTGGAGGAGCCAAAAACACCCCAGGAGTCGGCAGTTGAACCCTCGCCAGCTTCAGTAGCCGGTAAGACCCTGGGCTGGGCCGCTGCACTCGGAGGCCTCCAGAGGGCGCTGGTTAGAAAGGAGGCCTTCCAGGACTCCCGGAGTTGGAAACCGCATCACTAGCGCCGGAGCCCAGAGGGTCTACACTCCGGGAGAACGGGCCGGCTCATCCTGATGTGTGGCCACCAGCAAGGAGGACCAGGGCTCAGCCTTGTCTGAGCATCGGTCTGCTTCTTCAAGCCGAGGTCCCCTTCCAGCAGCTGAGCCCCCCCTGTGCCACAGACGGTGATGACCCTGGAGGGTGCCAGCCCCAGCCCCGCGGAGGAGGCAGGCTCACCCCCTTGCAGCCACCGCCCTGCCAGGAAAGGACAGTACATTCTAGAAGGGGGGTGTGAGGCTGCTTGCAGTGCCAGAACAAAGCACCACAGCCTGGTGAGCTTAAACAACAGGAATATATTTTTCACCATCTTGGAAGCTACGAGCCCAAGATCAAGGTGTGGGCAGAGCTGAGTCCTCCTGAGGCCTCTCTCCTGGCTTGCAGACAGCCATCTTCCCCCTGTGTCCTCACGTGGCCGTCCCTCTGTGTATGTCGGTGTCCTAATCTCCTCTTAATGAGGACACCAGTCCTACTGGACCAGGGCCCACCCATGTGGCCTCATTTTACCTTAATTATCTCTTTAAAGGCCCTGTCTCCAAAAGCAACTCTGAGCCGCTGAGGGTTGGTGCTTCAACATACCGATCGGGGTGGGGAGAAGGAGTTCAGCCCGTGAAGGAGGCTTCAAGGAGCCAGCTGGGTCCCTCTGTTTGTGGGAGATGCTCGAGGGGGGAAGGGGCTTGCCCACAGCAGAGGGACCCCAGGATCTGGTTCTCACACAGTCTAGGGCTCGTGAGAGAGAAAGAAGAAGACCGAGGACGCACAAACTCCAGGACAGATGAAGACCCTGGCTCACAGCAGCTGAGGCAGCAGACCCACGGGGTGGGAGCAGCGGCTGCATCTCAGGTCCTGTGAGCAGAGGCCCCACTCTGCACTCGCGTTGACTGGACGGACATGCCCAAGGCCTCCGGTCAGGCCCTGGGGACAAGCCTTCTCCCTGCCCTGGAGGAGCGAGGTCTGGGCCAGCCTCTGCCACCCAGGGGGCACCCAGGAGCACAGGTGAAACACTGGAGCCCTGGACCGTTACTGTGGCAGCAACCACAGGCCGCCTTCTGAACCGGACGGACAGTGGTCACCGCAGCCAAGTCTAGCCCCAGCTTTCTGCCGAGAAACAGCGACCCGCAGAAGTGGGACCATAAAGGTCTGTCTCTGCAGGGACACTGGGGATCCTCCCCACCCCCTACATGGCAAACGGGGAAACCGAGACTCACAGCTCCCCAGGCCACACAGCAAGACCATGCCCTGATCAGGATGCCTGGGTCCCAGGGCCCTGGGGCTCCAGAGTGGTTGTCCAAGTCACTGGTCACTTTCCCCTGAGCTAATGAGGCTCCAGTGCAGAGGTGGCAAAGTCAAGGCCGCAGGAATCAGACAGGTAACAAAACAAACAGAACAAGTGCCTAGGGCCCCACGGGGGAGTGGGGGGGCGGGGCACGTGGTGGGCAGGCAGAGGGTGACTTCTGCTAAAAGGGGCACCTTGCAGCAGACATCTCCGATCCATGCCTCCCCCCATCCTCCCACACAGTGAGAATGAGATCTCTATTGCCAGATCTTCTGATCCCCCGCCCCCCC